CCGGTTTTCTCGTGTCCCGTGCGATGGATTATCGCCGTTTTACAGCGCGGGGAGCGGATCACTCCCTTGTCCACACCCTCATCACCACCGGCAGGGCGGACCTATCCGCAAGAGACGCAAGTGTTGGCCGCGATACAGCCATGTTTGCAGAGCTCAAAGCCAAGCTCCGTGGTGAAACACCCAACGGAAGAAATATTCCATCGAAAAGATGTCGAGGTTCCCACGGCATCTCACCCGCCAATGGCAAAACCGATATGAACCCAGCCATTTTCACCCGTGACGGAGAATTCCATCGACGAACCGGAAAGCTCCGACGTCTGCGGAGCAGTAAGAAAGAGTGTAGAGTCCAGGGAAAACGAGATACGACGAACGGCCGAGATGTGCAGCACGCGCGAGGTGCAGATGCACGCCAGGGCCCTGACGGGTTGACCGCTACCACCGCGAAGGTCCAGTGGTTCTGCGGTGCGTTGGCGAAAACGGCGGAGAAGCTGTCCATGAGCAGGAGGGGCGGGGCAGAGGCATTCTTGCTGAGCGTTTTCGAGGACTTTGACCGGTGGGTAGTACTGGACGACACGAGACAACTGAGCCTACGGTTTTATTACGTGTTGTCGGAGAAGTTTCTATTCGAGGGAGTATATTTTCCTGTTTGGCGCCCCCGACTCTTGCTCTCCTCATGTTTGTTCGTACCGGTCACGTTATGCAGGAATAGAGACGGAACCCTCTCCATGCGACAATTTCGCGAATGTCTTTTCGATGTCAACGTTAGAGTCTCGGAACAGACCCTGCTCGAGGTCGGGCGTTACTTCCGAGCACCTACCCTAAAATCTCCCAGCGGTCGCCACCAACACAAAATCCGCGATTCCCGGCGCGGAGGTGCACGAGTCAGAAGGGACAGCGCCACCGACTCCATGCTCGTCGAAGTTTCGTATGTGCCTCTGATGGATACTGTATTCGGACGAAATGACGTGAAAGAATCAAGAAGAAAAGGTTCTTACCGGGATGATAAGGAGACAGATTACCCATTCAATGGCTGGGATGATGCACGAGGATATGAGCCACGCAAGGAGAACAAAGCGCTATGTCTACCAGAGGCATACTCCAGCGAGGACGACGGTGATGACGATAGCTGCGAGCACTGCTTTGTTGACGTTGATCGAATTCGTGCAGCGAGGATTGCCATTCTCGAGACCACAGATGCGCTTAGCCGACCACCGCTCTTTCTCGCTGCCGCTGCTGGTAACGTTCCGGCCGCAAAAACTCTCATTCGCCATGGGGCAGCCTCCGCTTGTGCGGTAGATGGGACTGGCTTGACCCCACATTCTGTTGCACCGAGTTTGCTCATGAGGAGGGTCCTGGCTGCAGAAGCTAGGAAATCGCTATGCCAAACTTTATCGAAACGGACCGAAGACCGCTCCCTTGGTGGGTGCATCCCTGACATGATCAGTGATCGAAAGGAAGAACGAGGACTTCTGCGCGGGAGGTTTGATCACGGAAGTGAACTGAAGGAAGCAATCGAAAGCGAGTCGTTACAGCGGGACGATAATCGTCGGATAGAAATGTGGATCTCGACCTTGGCAGAGGATGAGCTAGCACAGACCCGTGCAAGCGAGGCTCGAGTCGATCAAAAGACGAGTCTCCACCTGGCTGCAACTGCTGGGTTACCTGATTCTGTTACAGATCTTCTCGGCCGAGGGATAGGAGAGTCAGGGAAAGAGACAGCTGGGGCGGCTCAAGGTTGTGCAAAGTGGGACACATCATGGAAACCGTCCGAAGACATAATTGGGCGAGCTCGACTCAATGCAGGGCACTGTGCATACGACCACTACAGCATCCCCCGGGGTATGTCTGACGCGGCCACACTGGCGACTGATGCGAACGGATGGTCGGCGTTACATGCATGTTGCACCGAGGATTCAACTCAGCACTATTCGTGTGCGCTCGCATTGCTGGGATCACACGGTGATCCGAACGCTCGGACTAACACCGGAAAAACGCCTCTGCACATAGCCGCAAGTGCGAGCGGATCGGCAAAGGTTCGTATTCGTCGACATGTAGATGGGTAGCAATACCTTCGTTGCGGCACGCTCACATTATTACATGCACCGTACGGAGTTGGCAACTTTGTTGAAACTACAGACTGACGTTTTTTCATCGTTCAACCGGTCGACGCGGTCGATCTTGTCTCGAGAACCCCTTTTTCGACAAAGGAAAGCATCGCTTGAATTACTCGGCGTCGCCACACAACCCCCCTCCTCCTCGTGCGGTCTTGTTCATGCCCCAAGAGTGATGTAATTCCGATGCTCGTGAGCCACGGGACAAGTCTTGAAGCCCAAGACGCTGACGGGCTCCGACCAATCCATTTTGCCGCGAGGAAGGGCCGGCACATCGCTCTCTTGGCTCTCCTTACTGCGGGAGCAGACCCTTGGTCGGTCACGTCAAGGAGGTGGAATGCCCTGCACTACTCAGCGGCCAGCGGGTCATTGTGGTGTACCCGATTGCTGGCATATTGGGATTCCGATTCTGGAGTTCTCGCCAGACAAGAGAACAGCGCTGGCACGACGGCCATGGCCTTGGGCAGGTGCGTAAACGCCAAGGGACTTCTGTCAGGGGCAGACGCCGTCCTTTCGTTCCATCGAATCCAGTTCCTGGAACTAACCGTCATGGTTGTAGAAGTAAGAGTGGGTGTTAGTCGGTTGAGTCCCCTGCATTCTCGTATATTTTTCTTGCTTGACATGACAGGACGGATGACATCCGCTTGGCCATGTCAACCATCTGGGAAGCCGCAGCGCTAGGAGAGACCGAACGGGTGTCCCGCTCATGTCAAGAGGGCTCGCGCTCTCCGAAAGACGCGATCAGCAAGCCTTGGACGTGCCCAGGGGTCAACAGCAAGACCCCGGGGCTAGGGTTTGCACCCCTCCACGCTTGCATGGCAGGACTAGCGGCAGTGACGAGGGGTGAGGACGTGAGTCTCCCGTGCACCCCTCCTCGGCCGCTTTCCAAGGGTGATAAAGTAGCTCAACGGCCTTCCTTGTACACACGCCTTGCACGTCGATGCGGCAAACCAGCTCGCCGCCACCGAGGCGGGGTTGCAAGCACGCGCGAGAGAAACGATTCGGGAACCCCCGAGTTGAGAGGAAAACCTCCGGGCGTTTTCGATCGACGTGACTACATCGGGGTGTGCCGAGCCCTCCTGTCTGCAGCGGCAGACGTCCACGCTCTCGACAACCGATGTCGAACACCTTTGGCTCTAGCTTCCGCGAGCGGAAACGTGGAGATCGTGGAAATATTGCTGCGAGCAGGAGCCGACCCGCGAGCGCGCGACGCGGACGGGAACACCCCGTTGCACTTTGCGTTTTCGTATGCAAACGTAGCGGTCGCGGCCGCCTTATCAAGGGAAGGGGGAGACAAAGACGCCTGCAACCGAGACGGCAAGACCCCTCAAGACGTTGCCGGTCTTCGTGCGGGTCTTGCGATAGAAGAAAACAGCCTCTCGGGCGAAGAGCCGAGTTAGCACCCGCCGCTCGATACGTCGCGTTTGTCTCTTCGCCCCCCGCCAAACTGCTGCTCACGGTGTGGACGTCTCGTGCCTGGTATCGTGAAGTCAATCTAAATGCCTGTCTTGAACATACTACGCGCGTGCGTCCCGTTGCGTGTTGTTGGTAAACACTTCTTAAGTGTCTGATCGCGTCACGGTTGATGCTGTTCGTCGAGTGAGAGTGCACAGTCTCAACATGTTTGGCGAGGAGAGAATGATGAAAACTAAAGTTTTCGTATGATGGCCGGTCGGTATCTCGTATGTACGTACCTTCTCGCCCCATCAGGAAGAGCAGAACGAGGAGGCCACGCTACTTCAAGGCCATTTTGTTAGAGATCAAACAAGGGTGTACGCGACAAAATATTCCGGACACATAGACTAGGCCCTCCCTCCCGGAGGGGGGAGAAATTCGAAAGGTTACCACGGATCGTCGAAAAGGTACCATGAGGTTTGACGGATGGCAAACAAACATGCCTCGCTCTCATCACCCCTGCATCTGCTCGTCATCGATGCCGGCCCACGCTGACCTAGCTGTGCTACAGGAACACACGGAAACAAGCAGCCTACATATGCTTGCGTGTAGCGCCTCACTCATCATTCCTAAGATGGTTGTACATTATCGACCAAAGCTAGCTCGATATGATGAGCAAAACAACCGAGCAAACAAACCCAAATCTTTTGGGACAGGTCATTAGGTTTCACACGTGTTGACAACCATACATTCAGTTAAACAACCACCTGCCTTGGCAAACTTGCCCTTGCCGCTTCTACCAGGCAACATACAGTAGTCTCGCAAATCTACTATGATACTGCACATATCGGCTTGGTCTTGTAGGGATACGTTTGACTTGATCAATCTAACCTGCTTACACATCATGCGGACCCACCCCTACTTCCGAGGTATCGCGCGGTGTCTCGCTACGTTTGTTTTCTGCGAGCCAGTAGCCGGAAATGTGCTTGAATGTGCGACATCGCCATCCACTGTGTTTCTGACCAACCGACCACACGGGCGACCGGCAGGCCAGCGGCAGCTTTGCTAGATGCTCATGTTCGTGGGTCTGCGAACATTGGTGTTGGATACATGTGCTGGATGATATTGTGTGACGAAGACTGGTAAGATTACCGTTTGGTAGGGGGCACCGCGATGATTCACGGGGCCCCTCCTTGTTGTGGGAGCCGCTCTTTGAGCACTCCTCTTTCGTCCGTGTGAAGGACGGTCGTCGACCTCTCGTGAAGTTAATACATCACCAAAGCAGTCTCACCCGTAAAAAAGTGGCGTAGGCCGCACTCTAGAATTTTTGCCCCACGAGGGAAGCCACATCGGGATGAGCTCTGCTGGAGACGAAGAGCGCGCTGCTGCGAGCGGAGAACAGATCCGCCCGCCGGTGCAGGAGGGCCGCGACGCGGAGCTTGCAAGTTTGCAACGGCAGATTTCGCAATTGGCGGCCCTGGTGGATGTTAGGATGATCCGAACTGGGGGTAGCTTGTCGCAAGACGTGTGTTGAATAGGGTGTCGGCAACTCGGCGAACTCGCGCCAAGGAGGAAAGACGTGTAGGGTTTGTTGCATAAACTTCTCCTTCACACGAACTCACATGAACTCACACGAACTTACATGAACTTACATACGCGTGCACGCACCACCATGAGGGGGCGACGCAGTATACAACAGGGGTACCTTGCACACCCTGGAAATACATTCCACGTACCACACAATCCTACAACCACTTGGCATTGCTACAAGTATATCTATCAGCCCCCCTGCTTGTGACCATGCCATGTCTTTTTCGATCCTCAATAACTCCAAAACACAAGAAAATAAAATCAGAAACTCCACTCAGCTCTAGAACAATAGCCTCATTGGCTAGACATCAATACCCATCCCCGATCATACCAGTTATACTTCTTCGAACTTCAGTGAACTGGTTGCCCCCCAGCCTAGAACATCATCCATTGAGAAAAACCATAGGCAAAAATGTAAAATGTTGCCACCCCAGTTGTTTGATCACACACAAAATAAACCCGAACACCAAGATATTAATCCATACTCATCACGTAGTTACGATGAAACTCAAAATCTCCCGCGTGAAGTGCTTTCGTGAGAAAGTCAGCATGTTGATACGCCGATTCCACGTGAAAAATCGAAATCTCCTTCCTGCCTACCAGTTCCCTGATAAAGTGGTGCCTTACGTCGATGTGCTTCGAGTTACTGTTGCTTATCGGGTTTTGCGCCAACTGAATAGCCCCTTGGTTATCCTCGAACACCGGAATACATGGCATGCCTGCTTCTGGTAACATGAAACGCCACACCTGCCTCAGAAACAACACTTCCTTCATCACATCCGCAAGAGAGACATACTCCGCCTCTGTCGTGCTCAACGTAACGCACTTCTGGGTCCTTGAAAACCAAGAAATACATCCCCCCCCACACATCACCAATCCCCCTGACACAGACCTCCTATCGGCAGCCTTACTTGCATAGTCTGCGTCTGCAAACACCTCCATGTTCAACCCTGCTACACTACCCCTCCTGAATGTCATACCCAAATCACTAGTCCGTACAACATACCCTAAAATACCAAACCCTGCTCTCCAATGAATTTCTTTGAGAGAGGCACAGTACCATGCTATCGCTCTTACTGCATTCGCGATATCTGACCTCGTTTGCGTTGCCAGCCACATCAATGATCCTATCAGCTCACGAAAAGGCCATGATACCACTTCCTCATCCTGGTCAAACTCTGAAAGCTTCAACCCTACAGGAAGAGGAATTTCCTTCCCGTACTCTACCCCAAACTCCATCCCCAACTCTTCAGCGTACGTCTGCTGCGAGATCTTCAAAGTTCCTGCATCCCAATCTCTCTCATAAAAACATCCAGAGTACCATCTCAAATCCCCAAGATTCTTCACAGGTACCATGGTGTTGAGGTCCCTGCCAAACTGGTCACACCTCTCCTCCTCTCCTATCGAAAATATATCATCTACATGTACCACCAGAGTCACTACCACTCTTCCCTCCTCAATCAACCGAAACACACACGTATCCGCCATGCACTGAATAAAACCCAAACACATCAAACACCTCGCCAAGTGTGAATGCCACTGCCTCGATACCTGCTTGAGGCCATACAGACTCTTGTTCAACTTCACGATCATACCTGATAATCTACCACACCCCTCTGGCAGACGCATAAAAACATCCTCATCCAAATCCGACTGGACAAATGCCTGCTTGATGTCAAAATGACGGAGAGAAAGATTTTGCTCACACGCCATCGCTGCCAACAAGCGAACGCTAGAAACCGCTACAGTCGGTGCATACGTTTCTCCACAATCTACATGTACTCGCTGCATATCTCCTCTCGCTACTAGCCGTGATTTCACATTGGTTGGCCATCCATACTCGTCAGACTTCCAATCAAACACCGGCTTCGCCTTGATGACACTTTCTGGTTGCTACATTACTTCCTCAAAGGTACCAGCCTCCATCAGGCCTCTGAACTCCTTCTCTACAGAGTGTATCCACAAGTCAGCATGTTGAGAGGACACAGCCTCCCTATACGTTTTGGGTACGCGCAAGTCGCTCGCATAGCACTGTGGCAAGTCCGGTGCCACTTCCGGGGGATCTAAATCCCTCATCGCGCGATCAATGTCCTCGCGGGAGGCAAGCAAGGTGGCGCACGCAAATGGGACTTCTTCACGCAGTCCTTCTGTTTTCGTGCCCTCCCGCTCTCGCCCCCCCGGCTCCGCTCCATCACGTCCTCCGGCTGAACTCGGGATCTCCTTCCTCCCCCCATCGACGATGCTGCGAGTGGTTAGAGTCGACAGGAGCGTTGCCTTGTCCTGCAGGGAAACAAGACCGAAGCGGTGGGCGAGAGCGTCGCCGCTCCCGCCAGGTGACGTCGACCGCTCGGCCCCCCCATCCTGGAAACGCACCCGCCGACCCCTCAACCTCCCTGGCACCCGCGTCTCTCGTCCCAAGTCCAGCTCTCGATTGGCCCTGGCAGAGAGGGGCGGCATTGACGACGCACGCCCCCCCCCCTGGTCCTTAGCGGCTGCCCTCGTGCGCCCAGAAACCCTCATGTCGCCGCGCCCCACGTCCAGTTCACGGATGGTCCTCGTAGTGAGCGGCGGCATGTTGGTGGAAGGCGCGGCACCGGGCGGCACGGCGGCGGGAGACGGTATTACTGACGGTGCAGCGGCGGTGGTGAACGGTGAGGCCGGAGGCGAGGCGGCAGTGGTGAACGGTGTCGCGGCGGCGAACGGCGGTGCAGGCGGCGCGGTGGTGGTGAACAGTGGCGCGGCGGCGAGCGGCGTTGCAGGCGGCGCGGTGGTGGTGAACGGTGGCGCGGCGGCGAGCGGCGTTGCAGGCGGCGCGGTGACCGGTGGCGGTGGTGTGGCTGCGGTAGACGGCGCCGCCGGCGATGGTGGTGTGGAAGTTGCCGGCGGCGCCTGTGAGAGTATGGCAGCGGGTGAAGTGGGAGGTCGGGCATACGGTGAGGGGGGTAAGAGAGGCGGTGAAATATACTCAATTAGAAACGGTGCGGCGGCGACATTCGAATCTCCCCCCTCGTCCGCCGGCGCCGGCAGCTCCAGCGGCGGGGTCAGCAACGGCGCGCGGTCGGAGACCCACACGACGTTGTTCGTCATGCACACGCGCCCCGTCGCGAACTTGAGGACCTTGACCGCCGACTCGTGATGGTTGTCGCCGTTGTTGAGGTAGCAGCACAGCACTGCCTGGGGATCCATCTTCCTCGCGCGCGTCACACGCATATACCCCGGCTGCAAGAACGGGACGATCTGGAGCGGTGGCGGGCGACCGGTGAAGAGCTCGTGCGGCGACTTGTACCCGACGTTTGCCTTGGTCGGAGAACGGTTGAAGCCGCCGGCAGCCCAGTGACACGATTCTAGCCAGAGTCGCTCGCCATCGCGCCCGAAGCCGGGGACGCGGGTGAAGTCGATCTTGGGGAACAGGCGGGGTGCCTCGAGACGAGCGGCGTGGCCGGCCTTGTTCACGCGCCAGATCGCACTCTCCGCCGGACCATTTTGCTGCGGGGTGCCCGGCGCCGTGTACGTACGGCGGATGCCGGCGTTGTCACAGAAGGCGATGAAGTCGCGTCCGATGAACTCCCCCCCGTTGTCCATCCGGAAAGAACGAGGGACACCGGTGCCACTCATGTCGGCGATGAACTTCTTGACGAAGGCGAGGGTGTCCGACTTGCGCCTCATCCCGTACAGCTTCATCCACCGCGAGAAGCTGTCCACGAACATAATCATGAAAAACGAACCCCCCAGCGAGGCCGTCATCGGCCCACACAGATCGATGTGCCAAAGATCGTGCGGCCGCTCTGCGCGCGTGCCCAATTGGTGAGGCACGCCCGCCTTCTTCCCCTTCGCCTGCAGGCATCCACCACAAGGCTGCAGGACACCGGTCAGTCGGAGACCGTGCTGCTTCGCAAGCTCACGCAAAAGAAAGTTATTGGCGTGGGAGGACGAAACATGGAGAAGGTTAACGTCAATAAACTTGGTGGGTTTCCCCACCGAAAAAGGGTGCTTGCCCGGGGCCATAACGGGAACGGTGAAAGCAACATCATCGAAGACATTGGCAAATCCAGACTCAAACATCAAGTCTAAAAACTCGTAGGGGTCATCCGATTCTTGTCTCTGTTCTAAGAGGTACAAAGCCCACTCGTAATCTCCCTGCTCTGTGAACGGCATAAACCCACGGTTATCATCCTCACTATTCTCTTGAAAAACGGCGACGTCCGGCGATGGCAACCCGGGAACAGCTACCAACTCCAAACCATGCGGCACTTGAGGAGCGGAGGGAAAAACCACACTCCTGTCAGCGGGGGAGGGGGCATACACTGTCGAAAGAACGACGCTGCTCGCAGCGGGCGGGATATTGATCACAGACGATGGCACTACGCTGTTTGCAGCGGGCGGGAAACCATACACCGTGGAAGGTACTATGCCGGCTGCAGCGGGCGGAAAATTCGACACGGGAGCATATCTGTGGGCGGTGGGGTCACCAGAATGTACTACGCTGTTGGGAGCGGGCGGA